ACTAAAACTACGTACCTACTTTAAAATGAAAATCGACATCTCTGTCAAAATCTGAAACCTGCGTATAGTGTTTTTTCATGCGTTATCATAAATAAGCCCAACTTAAATTGGAAAAGAACTAGATTTTTTATTTTTTTTTGGAATTAAAGCTATTGACAGATTCTGACAGCTGTCAAAATGTGACGTGCATGAAGTTTGTTCAATGTTTTATCACCAATAAACTACCTTAAAACGAGACGAACCAGATTAGAGTATTTTTTTCTACTAAAACAAATGACAGGTTTTGACAGTTCTGTCATTTTTTTTTCAATTTTTACATTCAAGTTAATTATGTCAGATGACATCATAAAATATTGAAAACTGGAAAAGATGAGTGCTGCCGTTTGTCAGGGTTTTGACAGGTGTCAAAATGGTTGACATTTTTCGACCTAACTTGGTCGACTTAGTAGAAATAGATTTTTTGTTCACCAAAATCTGCCATAATTACTCTGCTTTTGGATATAAGATTCCAATATTTGACAGCTAACCACGCCTCACCTGTCATATATACAGGGTTGTGCCCATGGTAAAAAATGTTGCTTACGGCATCCCCAATAACATATTTAAATTTCATCCAAATATCACGGGTAACCAATTTCCATTTAAATATTGCGGGGTCCTTTGATATACAAAATAAATACAAATTCCTTGCTTGGCCGCCACGCCATATTGAATTTTGTGACTGAGAAATGGATTTGATTTCCTAATGAACGCCGTCGTTAGCCTGCATATTCCGAACTTCTCAGGTTAGGTTAGTTTAAATGTTAAGTTAGGTTAAATTTTCTGTTAGAACCCACCTTTTATCATACAGCAACGTTTTGGCAACATTTCGCTACAGAACTTTAAAAAGCTCAACAGTCCAACGACAATGGCAGACTTGAATTGGTGAATAGGTTCTGGCAGGTGGGCATTGATGCAAAACGCATAGAGAAGGCAGCGTTCTCCACTGGAAGTGGTCTTGACCAATTCAAGGTAATGCCTTTTGGACTCTGTAACGCGCCCGCTACTTTCGAGAGGTTACTGGAAATCGCAATACGAGGATTGACGTGTCTATTTGGATGATGTTTTTGTGATGGGAAAACTTAGGATAAGCACATACCAAACTTACAAGGAGTATGCTCAAAATCTAGGTTATATAATATTACATTATATTTACTTATAACAAAAAAGGAGTCTTTTGAAGGTATTCAAAATAAAGACTATATGACGATAAGGAATTAGTTGCTGAACAATTGTTGTTGCCTAGACGCCATTTGGATTAATTTGGAAATGAAAATGAAATGTTGAGAGCTGTGGGAATGCTTCAAATTGATGTAAATACTATGGAAACTACTCACGCCTCTGGAGTCATTATTGTATAGTAGAAAGGCATTTGAGTAGGCTAAGGAAACATCCTTGTATGGACCAATTCGATATGTCCAGTTAGAAGCTCGAAGAATACTGTAACTGCATCCTGAGCTCCTAATATCAGTATTTCAAGACATATCATCTACAGAAGGTTAAGAAGAGGTAATCTAGTTTGCAGAAGGTTTTAGAGATGCCAACCTCTAAGCCGGGGGAATCGCACCACTCCACTAGCATACTCATAAATCTCGATTTGGTTTGTATCCAGATCCTCGAAAGGTAGGTACGTGTTTGAAGAGCAACTGGCACAAGAAGTCTCATCCAACATACCCATAGCCAATCATGAGGCGAAATTCTAAAATGGATAGAGATCGTTATCGTCGTTATGGATATCGTTATGACACTTGCTGTCTTCTTCTCTCGAAATCAATAGAGAGGAGACGTCAATACAGAATCCAAGCCAAGGTGTGGGCAGGCATTTCGCTTGGCAGTAGAATTAAGCTCGTTTTGCTGGATCGATTTTTATCGGCAAACGATTTGTAGTGACGCGGAAATAAACCACCAAGAAAACAATTAAAGGTTCTGATTATTCTAAACAACTGAAGACCTAGGATCCAACTACCGAAAATTAATCAAGAATAACAAGGACTTACCAAACAACCATCCCAGGAGAGATCATCACTTAGACAGCACAACTATAAACTTCTATTGAAAATTATCTGAACATCGATACCCAGAAATTATTGACTATATACATTGGAATGTGAATAAAGCAAAAGTTCATGGACCTTTTTTTTAAGTGCTTTCAATAATTAACATTCCAAAGGAGCCGGAAAATGTCTAAAAGGATCAACAAATCATGCACGAGCCTATATGATGATACCCACTTAACAAACTGAAGATGGGGTGTAATATTTTTGACCCCAAAACCATGGTAATTAATGAATAATATCAACACTGTGTAGGCTTCCTAGTGGGTTTTTCGCTGGCTTCCTATTGAAGATAGGTACTGACAGCCCAAGCAACAAGAAATATAATTCTTGGTGTATGCGCATAACTGGAAACCAATATCTTTTTTGTATGAATTCCAATATTTTATCAACTTCATGGTAGGACAATAAGATATTCTTCCTCGCTGCTGTTGGTACCAACCAACGTCTACCTTTGGATGTCTTCCTATAAATTCTGTTCTCTTTTAGCAGGTACTGGTACTCCTTATGGAATATTTTATTCTCTGAGCTAACCGATATTTTATTCTGCCTTTAAATAATATCCAGAGAAATTAGAGTGTAGAGTGAAACTGCACAAGCACATTTGACAATGTTTATTCTAGTCTCTATAACTTCTCAAGAGTTAGATACTTGTTTTTGTCTATCATTCTGTGTAGACAGAACTCCCTATAACTAACTTAAACCTACTACATTATCAAACTACAATATTAAACATCTTTCCGCTCAAAGATCTAACTTATCTGGTTTCTTGATACGCCTGCCAGCTCTAGTAACATAACAGTCACTGATTTTTTATTCGAATCAGTTACCTTAACCCCATGACTCACTTGTTTTGACATGGTAGCACCATCGTCATCAGAAAATCACCCAAATCTGACAATAATTGATTGCCAGAAGAAACATTTCCAATATTCAATCTGTCAACATCATGTGTTGAACTTAACTTTTGAACATACTGATTATTGGAAAGTTTTAGATCAATTCTGTTTCTTCTAAGAACATTGCCACTTTCATCTTGCACGTTATGCCATCTGTAAAACTAATCTTAAATTCTGATCATGTTCTTGTTCCGTAGCACTTGTCAATAATAAATCGTCAAAATGAAATTCTACGCCCTCTATATCTCCGAACAATTCATTTTTTTTTTTCGCTGGAAAACCTCTGGGGCAGATGAGATTCCAAAGGGCATTCTTAAGAACTTAAATCGGTCAAATGGCGTACCTAAATCACACAAATCAGCACTCTTTGAATCTAATTCTATTTGCCGATACCCATGACGCATATCTAAAACGGTAAAATACCATTTGCCAATTTTGAGCTAACTTTTCATCTATCAAAAATTACTCCTTTTTTATCGAATCATTTAAATGCTTGGGATCAAGACATAATCCAAAGTCATCGTTAGGTTTCTACGCAATCACTGATGCATTAAGCGATTCTTGTGATGCTTTTTGCTTCAAGGTCTTCTAGCTTATGTCTTGATTGATCATGTAAGATCCTTGGTATTCTACATATATTATGAATAATTTTTAGTACAGCATTTTCCAATGTAATGTGATGAACTGATGGAAATCTTCCTAACCCTTGAAACACTTCATTTGCAAAAAAGTCATGGTCACTATCGCTTCTGTCAACTTCACTACTCAAGTCAGTATTCATCACCAGTTTTTACTATTCCATGTACCTTCTTGTTTTGTCCTTCTTTTTTCCAGATTTCTCTCCTTTAAGGCTATTCTTTTCTTTGATTTCCCTTTTGCACACATTGGCAAAATGGTTTAGGAAAATTTGACTGCAATAACAGAAGCTGTCTCTTTTTGTAGCACTGCGTTTGAAGCTGGTATTAGTATATCATTCAAATAATATGCTTATGCTGTCGTGAAACGGAAAATTCCAAGTACCTCATTCATGATCCGTTGAAAGACGGCTGGAGCGTTTATAAACCCAAACGGGCATTCGCAGATACTCATAATGGCCTTTACAATTTATGAAGTAGCACGAATTAGACTAAGAATTAATGCTTTCTTGATCCTAAAAACCATTGTCCATAGAGCTGCCCGGAAACTTATTCAAACTAGCATAGTAAAGTAAACATAGTAAACGTGTACTTACTTTCTGTAGCTTTTCCTTTATTCACACACATACCCCAACAAGTGGCAAAACTTGCACTCAACCTTCGCCTTGGTGCAGTTTGATGCACGGTGGCCTTTTATAAGACAGTGGTAGTATTTCCCGTGAGGTTCTCTAGACTTCTATTTGGCTTTTCGTTAGTCTACTACTTTGAACTCCCAGGTTTCGTATACATTTTTGCCGCTTCGTTGTTTGTATAGAAACTTTAACAAAAGAAAAGTGCTTCTTCCTATTATCCAGCATTTTTCTTAGCAATGTCGTTATGATCATGCAGGAAACGATTTTAGTCCCAGTTGTAAGTCAGTAAGACTATGGTACCACGACTTTACCATGCCGGACAATCTGGACTGCATATGAAATGAATTATTTGGATAAAATTCAGGTATACAGTTGCTGGTCTTGGAGTAAGTGAACGTGATCTAGATGATTGATATGAGTCACTGGACGAATGTTTGCGTTTGGGGGTGTAGGGCTACTCAGATCCACGCTTTTCAGAAAGATTTTTTTGATGAGTGTTTTCTCCTACTACTGCTATTCTGCTACTGCTTCTGGAAGAGCAGAATTTCGAGAAAAACATAGTAGGTACGAACAAAAAGTCAATAAATCCACTATAGTTTTTCATCAATGTATCAAATTGTGTATTATCCATCTCTGCTGGTTGATTACCTCAGCTTTGGATGGTTTTTGGTTATCTTTCTCCATCATTTTATACATATTGTCTTTGTGTAAAGCTCATTGTTAAATTTTTTTTTTTTCCAGGCAATGCCATGGTCATACAAAGAAAAAAACCCAGAAACAGGCGAATCATACTGGACAGGTTACTGTGCGGATTTCGCCCAGAAACTCTCAGAAGTAATGGATTTCGATTTCGTATTCGTCGAACCAGAATCGGGTACTTTCGGTGAAAAAATCAACGGATCATGGAACGGAGTTGTGGGAGATTTGGCTAGAGGAGATACCGATTTGGCCATAACGGCTATAGTAATGACGGCCGATAAAGAAGAAGTTATCGATTTTGTTGCTCCTTATTACGAGCAAACTGGTATTACTATTGTAATGCGGAAGCCTGTTAGGAAGACTTCACTGTTTAAGTTTATGACTGTTTTGAAGTTGGAAGTTTGGCTTAGCATTGTCGCCGCTTTGATTGTTACTGGATTCATGATTTGGTTTTTGGATAAGTATTCGCCTTACAGTGCTAGAAATAATAAGAAGGCTTATCCGTACCCGTGCAGAGAATTTACTTTGAAAGAAAGTTTCTGGTTCGCTTTGACCTCGTTTACACCTCAAGGAGGAGGCGAAGCCCCTAAAGCCCTATCAGGCCGCACTTTAGTGGCAGCCTATTGGCTGTTTGTAGTTTTAATGCTAGCTACCTTTACAGCTAATTTAGCTGCTTTTTTAACTGTTGAACGGATGCAGGTAAATATCAATTCAATCGGAATTATGCTTTCTATGCATACTAAACTAATTACTATTATTTTTAGGCTCCAGTTCAATCTTTAGAACAACTAGCCAGACAATCTCGTATAAACTACACCGTAGTTCAAAGCTCAGACACTCACCAATACTTCATCAACATGAAATTTGCCGAAGACACTCTTTACAGAATGTGGAAAGAATTAACTCTAAACGCCTCAACTGACGACACCAGATACCGAGTTTGGGATTATCCAATCAGAGAACAATATGGCCATATTTTATTGGCAATCAACGATTCGAATCCTGTTGCAAACGCTTCAGAAGGCTTTCGCCTTACTAACGAACATTTAGATGCTGATTTTGCTTTTATACATGACTCAAGCGAAATCAAGTACGAAATCAGCAAAAACTGCAACCTTACTGAAGTTGGAGAGGTGTTTGCTGAAAAACCTTATGCAGTAGCTGTGCAACAAGGCAGCCACTTGCAGGACGATTTAAGTAAAGTTATATTAGACTTACAAAAAGATAGATTTTTTGAGGCATTACAGGCCAAGTATTGGAATCATTCAGTCAAAGGCGATTGTCCTAGTACTGACGACAACGAAGGCATAACTTTGGAAAGTTTAGGTGGAGTTTTCATTGCGACGCTTTTCGGTTTGGCTCTGGCCATGATTACTTTAGCTGGGGAGGTTTTGTATTATAGGCGCAAAGCGCTCAAGGAATCGAAAATTCAAAAGTTTGATAGGCCGCAATTTAAGAAAACTGTTACTATTGGGAGTAGTTTTAAGCCGGTGAAGTACAACGAAAATTTGACTAAGGAAATGGAAAATGTAGCTCATATATCTTTGTATCCTAGGGCTAGGAATAGGTTAGCACGTATTGAGTGATTTTGATTGAAACACTGTGAGTTGAGTGGAGTAATTTTTATTGGTTGGCATTTGAATAAAAGATTCAAAGAAAGTTTTTAATTATAAGTGGCTAAGTCGGTGTAGATGAAATGGGTAAAAGTCTGAAAGTAAAACAACAAAAGCATGAAATATTCAAAACTTCAAACAGCTGTTTACTATAAACTCAACCCAATAATCTTTCTTTGGGGTTCCAACGATCTTCTTGAAAAAATGTTTTACGATCGCTAATCCAGTTTCCACTCTTTAGGACTGAGCTTTTGATCAACCACAACTCCCCAGGGACCGGACCTCTGGGGTCAGCCGTAGACTGGTAATATTTAGCCTGGGTATTTGCATGCCACTTAGCTTTCTTCTCCTGGTAAAGAGGATTCACCGTCAGAGAGTGCTCCTCATCACACCAACATCAAATTTGGTTAAGAGCCGTTTGCATGACATGGCATAGAACGCTCTCAACCTTGCTTGTAAGCAGAATGCACAAATCATATGCGTAACCTATAGTAGGGAATCCCGCATTATTAAAGCTATATAGCAGGCTGTCTACCACAAAGGTCCCAGAGGATCAATGATAACACACCACCTTGTGGGCAGCCTTTCTTAACCAGAGCATTGATAGTGGTGTCCCCTGTATCAATTTTCACGACCCGCCAGCTCAGCATCTTCTCTATCCATCTGGTGATGGTAGGTGGAGCTAGCCCCATGTCTAGCTAGGTCTTGCTTGATATTATCGAAGGTCGTTCTGTCGAACGCTCCTTCGATATCAATAAATGCTGCCAGGGTGGACATTTTCCAATCCAGAGACTGTTTAATCCTGCACACGACTGCGTGGAGAGTAGTTTCCGTGGATTTCCCTGATATATATGCATGTTGGTTTCGGTGAAGGGGGTTGCGTGCAAGGAGTCCTTCCCTTAAGTTTCGTTTGCACAGTCTCTCAAGAACCTTTACTGAAAAGGATGGCCTTAGCCTAATCAGTTTTGCCTGGCTTGAGTATAAAGATTACATTTACCTCTCTCCATTTCTCAGATATGTATGCCAGAGCAAAACACGCTCTGAAAATAAGCACTAGTTGGTCTAAGATAATATCCAGACTCCACTGCAGGAGCACCTGATATAGACCGTCCAGTCTTGGTGCTTTATATGGAGAGAATTAAGCTATTGATTGACGATTGTTTCCTCGACTTTTGACTTACTTACCACTTCCTGGGCTATCAGCCAATCAACCTCCGCCGGAGTGGCAGTCCTGCTATGGTTATGCCAGGTGTGGTTTTCTAAGATCTCACAGTCGGGAAACATGTGCTTGCGAATTTCCCCTTAATACTCTCGGTGTGCTTTATACGCATCTCAGTCAGTCGCCCTTGCATATACATACATGCATATCAACCCCGACCAAAGTTAGAATATATAAAGTATGTGTCAGGCCAATAAATGACATACACTGCAGAAACGCGAGCTGACACAGCGGAAACAAAAAGGATAGCACGAACCAATGAAATGAGAATACTAAGAATGATCAAAGGGAACACACTTTGGGATCAAAGAAGGAATAACGAAATCAGGGAAGAGTGCAAGAATGGAAAACCACAGACTGGCAAAAATCGCCAGAAATGGAAAATCAGCATCCAGTAGACAACAAGGACGGCCTCCCAAGAGGTGGAAGGACAGCTGGTCGTCGGCATCCCAGGAGGGACAAATAAATAGGTGAAACAAGCCTTAAGGCAAAGAAGAAGAAGAAGGTTTTCTATGAGCTTTGGTTCATTTGTTGACGCAGCTTAAAAGATTAAAAAGATTTGTTACTGTTGAACGCCTAGATATAAATCCATGTTGTGAATTTGGTAGAAATTTGTTGGAACCCCAGGAAGACTCAAGCTATCTTGTTTACCAAATAAAAACACCCACCAAAAAAGAAGCTAAAGGGAAAGAGCGCGGTACTACTCTGGAAAACCAACAATAAATACCTAGGCATCATATACCTACGACAACTCAACTGAAGACTTCAAGCCAAATATGCCAACTCAAAGAGCGGAACAGTGTGTTAAACACTGAAATTCAACTTTTAAAGAACAAGGAAAAGGATTTGTTGGTGGAACAGAAAGAATGGCAAGAAACCAAAAAACATATAGAGACAAAGATTAAAGAACTGAAACGGGAAATGTATGATCTGCAAGAGGAGAACAGGAAATTATGGAAGATCAGATTATATCTTGTTTGGCGGAATGTAATAGATTCAGAGTGAGACTGCAAGAACTAATGGAAATGAGGAGAGAAATCATTACCACTATAAGAGTATTGGAAGAGAATAGATAGGTAATCATACTCACAAGAATGAGATTCTAAAAGTCAAAGTCAATAGATACACTGTATGAGAAAAGTTATGAAAGAGCAGACAAAGAAGCACAATAGGGGTAAAACAACAATACAAAAGAACAATATTCTTATTTTGGGTGATAATCTCGCGCATCAATTTAAAACTGTTTGGAACGTTATGTATAAGTGACAATTTTAATGTGTCTTCTGTTCTGTGATTAAGAATTATGCTGTAATAGAGAATATGTCTACAAAAAACTATACAAAGAATGATTATAAAATCATTAGGTATAGGTGGTAGAATTTCATTATAGACAATCCTATTATTGTATGTTTAAGTGAAACTCACGTAACAAGCGACATTTTAGATTGTGAAATATCTGTTAGGTGTCAAGGGTCATGATATTATTAGGGTTAATAGTTGTTGTAGTAAGCATATAGGCAGTGCGCTCTTGTACCTATATAAGGAATGGACGGAATGTTGTTCAAATGGGTCAAAGACTGTACAAATATCTGTGGTACAAACGCTGTTTTGAGAAATTGTACTGGTTGGTTGCACATCAATTATTCTTGATTCTTTTCACTGACTGGTGTGTGATGAGAATATATGTGACCGAAATGGGTATATAGTGGTTGGTTGCCTGAATATTGTCAGGGAGATAACATATCCTACTAGCATGGGTGGAAGCATTATTTATTTTATTTGGTAATAGTTACTTAATAGGAATATAGATATTTAAAGTTAAAGTATTAGAAACTCCTAGGATAATACATCACATTCACAAACAATGTTACATCTGAGACAATAGAAAAGAATAATTTTCTGATGATTGAAAGCAGAGGTAGAAATATATAAATAACTATGAAGAAGTCAATGAAAAGTTGGGAGAAATAGACTGGGAATATCGATGGGAATATAGAATAATGGACATAGATAGTATGGATATATGTATCAAAGCATGTTAAAGGCATATAATGAAGCTGCTCCCAAGAGGTGTATGATAATACACCCTACATATAAAGATTGGCACAATCGAAATGTAAGTGAGGCTAGAACACTAAGGGATGAAGCTTATAAAGAATGGAAGAGAGAAGGAAATGACGAAAATAAAGAGGAATACAAAAGAAAACAAAATTATGCTGTTAAGACAATGCGGGAAGGAGAGCGAAAATATTTTCAGACAAAAATTGATCAACATAGAGTCAATTCTGTAAAGCTGTAGCAAGGAGAAAGCAGGAGATTATACCTACCAAATAACAAGGCAAGTAAGTCAGTGCTAGAAATTCTAGAAATAGAAATGAATGAAGATCTTGTAATAAAAAATAAAAATGAAATACCCGACTGTTTGAATAGATATTTTGTAGAAAGCGTAGAAATAACTGATAATATTGATAAATCGGGACCACAATATCCAATTTGGAATAGTGTTGGTTCTGATCTCGGCGTAACAACCCTGGAGAATTTTTCACTAGTCTCCATAGAGAACCTGCATTAGATTGTATTTTTCCTGAAAAATGAGAATAGTTCAGATGAGGTCCATTAATATGTTGAACATTGTTGAGGAGGTTTTGGAGAAGGTCGTGTATTCACAGTTAGGAGGAATTTATCGAAGCCAATCTGCTGCACGAGGTACAGTCTGGATTTCGTTCCAAGTATAGCTGTGAAACAGTACAGTGTGTGCTTGACGATTCTAGGGGAAATATTGATGTTGAACTATGAGTTACGTGTGCTGTATTGTTGGACCATAGGCGGACATTTGAAACAAATAGGTTGCGTTTATAGCAGAAATTGAGGGCTGTTGGGAAAAAGGGAAGGACGTTTGATTGGTTGATCTTGAGAATAGAAAACAGAGAGTAAAGGTTAATGGTGTAGTTTCTTATCCTTTCTAGTAAAGATTGACATTTCGCAAGCCTACTTTCATATATTCGTGAGAGCTCAGCAGCGTATAGTTTACTAAGACATAGAATACTTCATTTCACGTTTGCGAGAATTTCAAACTGGGTAGCAGCTTCTTGAGGACGGCTTAATTTATTTATTTATTTTATTTATTTATTTATTTATACTCATTTAAAACACAAGAATTTTTGTAGTTACATTAAAAGAGTGCTTACTGCCAATAATAACCTATATGCATATCTATCCTAACATGAAGAAACAAGTGAACAAACAAAGAAAATAAAAAGAGCAATAACATCAACATACAATATGGTAAAACAATCTGGACCATTTCCTCCTAATAGCCTGACGGGACCCTTCAAGGTTTAAGGAAGATATGTGAATGTGGTGGTTTTTCTGAAACCACTGGGTTGGATTGTAAACAGGAAAAAATCTCTAACGAAATCAACAAAAAGTCTAGAATACTTGTTTGGATTTCTGCAAGAAATGTGTCTTCTCTACCAACAAAGAAGGTTGCGTCCATAAGAAAGAATTTGAATATGATTCTGTCAACAAAGTCTTGAAGCTGGGAGTTAGCAAAGAGGTTGTTGGGAAAACTAAACTTTGTCTCTTTCACGATCCCTCTAGGAAGGTTACATTCGAAATCACTACAGAGAGAGAGTAGCAAACATCCTCTCGAACTTTCAGAAAAGAAGGAGAATCTTGATACCCTCAGTAGCTCTAGCCTGTTTACGGGAGACGATCCTTTGTGACTTCAGATGCATCAGATATCGATTGGGGGGCGCAGATAAACGGAATCTTCATTAGTGGCACGTGGGAAAGACGCACATCAACATAAGAGAACTCTATGCAGGGCAGCTCAATGATCGACCTTCCTAGCGGGAAAAGAGCCAAACTGGTACACTACAGTTGTCAAGAGAAAATCTCCGCCTACTGATAGGAATTTACTCAGGACACTGTAGACTAAATAAACACCTTTACACCTTGGCTGTTGTTGAGACCCCAACGTGTAGGTGGTGCGACGCTGCAGACGAAGCGGTTGAACATGTGCTTTGTCACTGCCCAACTTTTTGTCAACAACGGCAAGCCATACTGGGGGACATCTGGCCTGATATGGCCAGGTTGAGAAGTACCTCACCTGCAATTTATCCAACGGGTGCGATGTCTGCGGGAGACCCCCAGGGAGGAAAATGCGCCTTAACAAATGGAGGTGACATAAAGGCCGCTAAGGCGAGGCCTAGTGTCAGTGAGTTAACTCGCCCTCTTTTGCAACTATCCAGATCCAGAACCCTTGCTGAATAATGTTCTTATTGGCGTTGAGGCGTTGCATAGCAAAATTATGTAGGTGTGCTGATTTCTTGTGATCTAAGATGGGAGCCCGCAGCCCCTCATCAAAAAGATAGTGGAAAAGCCCAATAGTTTAATCTTCATGGAGCAATTAAGGATAACTCTCTTCAGATTGTGAGAAAGTTGTATGCCTCCTATATTCGATGGAAACGAGAGAACTACTATACTGGAAAATTTGAGCTAACAACTCTAAAGCAAAGCAGAACTAGAAGTGATCCTATAGAAACTTTAAAGATTCTAATGGACTTGGGGAGTTTGTTTAATTTTAATCGGAATTAGCATCTGCCCGGACGCTCAAAAAAATTAAGCAAGGAAAAATCAGCTACAAGGACTTCCTCATCAATCAGGTTGAAAAGAATACAGTGTGGTGTGCAAATAGTGTAAACCCTTTTGAAAACTATGTTTATTGTAACTTAGAGCAGACAGTAATGTAAATGACACTTAATTGTTGCCAGTTTTTCTCCTCTATAATATTGCATTATCAAATTTGAAATGTGACGTTTCAATATTTCCATCAATCCCAGACAAAAAGAAATTACTCCACTCAAAGGTACCCTATGTCACGTTCTATTAATTAGACCTTTAACTTTGTAATTTATTTAAAAAAAAAAAAGACGAAACTAGGTATTACAGATTCACTAAACACTACATTCTAACGATTAGGTATACAAAAAAAAGTAACAATAAATTCTTACATGGAAATACAAAAAGAAACACTACATTCTAATACAAAAAAATAAACAATAACTCTTATATGTATTGAAGACAACATTACAATACAATGGAAATAAAGTATGTAATTTAGAAACGATAGTTGAATTTTACTTTCAGTAAATACTTGACGTTGACTTGAGCAACATCGTAAACGATATACTCGTTGTAAAGCAAAGAACTACTATCAGAATTCGGAGCTGGAACTCCTTTACCAATCGGCACCTCAGCGTCATGCAACTTCTTCACTAAACCTGGATCCGGATGAGTTTTCCCGACACCTTTAACACTGTGATGCCCTTTCGGCAGCTTCTCAACATAACTTGCTTGGAGTTTTTCCCACATCTAAATCAAAAGTTATTAACAAATTACAAAAAACATTTACTATTTACTTACATTTCCCAAAGCAACTTCGCACAATAACAACAACCCAGTCGGATTACTCGGATTGGTGCAACAATAATTAGCAGATTTCGACACCATGTCGGCAAAGTAGATTCCTTTTCCAAACATGTAACCAGTCATTGGTGCCTCAGGTGGCGCAATACGTAAACCTTGTGATAAAATTCCGGCAAAATTAGGAGTCCTGGAACCGTGCCAGAGCAGTTTGCGATTGGGCAACTTCTTAAATGGTTTGTAACGTCTTTCTTCGCCTTCACGTTTCACAACAAAAACATCTTCAAGAATTAATTCGTAGCTGGCGTGAGTTGCTGCATGAGTGTTTTTGACGTATTCGTGAATAATTTTGAATTCTTCTGAGTCTTTGGATAAGACATCTATGTCTGTTTTTAGTTGCTTGTAGTAGGCGTCTACAGTGTGTTCAGCGCCTGAAGATTTCATTAGGCTATAAGCGATTTCCATTTCCATTAAACTGTTAAGCATTTCGAGTTTTTTTGCAATCACTTCTTTGTCTTTTAAAATTGGGACTTCGTCCACACCAAAACTATGTGGAATTAATGTGTAAAACTTATTGGTTACTTCAATGAATTTTACATCTGGGACTTTTTTGTCAATCATGTTTTGTAGCTCGGACAATACAACAAACGCTTGTTGGATTTGGTTTTTGCTCAGCTTGCCCAAAGGCATTTTTTCAGTGTCCAACTCAAACTCCAGCAATAATTTCTCCATTTGCTTCACATCAAATATTAGTCTGATGAGGTTTTGGACTTGTTGGGGTAGTTTTGAATCGGTTTCTACAATGTCCAAGTTTTCCGGTTCGTCTGTACCGTAATCTACATCGATTGGGTACATTTTGCCCGGGACTTTGATGAACTGATCACGGTATTCCCAAGGGTTGCCGGATTTATCTTCATAGACTTCTTCGAAACATCTTTGGGCGTCGTGTAGTGAACTGAACTGTTCAGTTTTGTTACCTGAAAAACAAAAATACTTGGGAAAAGAATACATTAAACAGAAATATTACTAACCTCCGATTATGGTACCGATCCTGCCCCATCCGCGATAAATCCAGTACCGATCGCCCTTGTCCGATTGAAGAAGTTGCAGCTTGTAGAAGCTGTTTTTGTTGTCTTGGACGTTGGTCAGGCCCAAAACGACGCTCCATTTCGCTTTTTCTCGGTCTACGTAGACGTGGGCGATGTCTTCCAGGCCGCTGTCTGGATCTACAGCGGTGCCACCTGGAATTTAAACGGGTTTTGTGTAGATTTTAAATTTTTGAATTTTGAATCTCACGCGCCTATTTACAGTTTGCTTGTATTGATAAAACTATGGAGACTTAAAAATTCAAATAAATTTGAAAAAAGGAATACAATCAGATTTATTGTGGGATTTGAAGCCGAAATACATGAAAAAAGGACATTTGAGTTTACGAAAATCAATGCAGAATCTGAACTTTCCATCCTTTTTCCTAACTAAGCAGACAGGGCTTGACCAAGGGTTATTAGATCGCTCAATGACACCAAGTCGCAACATTTCCTCAACTTCATCTATAATTTGTTGTTTATATGGGGAAACGGGGTAATACCTCTGTTTGATTGGTCTTGTGCCAGGTTCAAGAATGGTCTCATGTTTGGCGACTTCACAGTATCCCAAGCCAGAATCTATTTGGGAAATCTTGTCTTTGACCAAAGCGTCTAAAGCCTAAAGGATTCAAGTGTTCGATAGCTTGAACGTTACAAACTTGTGCCAGTTCTTGGGCTTCAGAAAAATGCCAAATACTTTGACTCATATCAGGAATGATTTCCATTGATTTCCAAAAATCTATACCCAATATTAGCTTGTGGGAAAGTTCAGGAAGTACTAAAACATCAATAACCTTTGTTTTGTCAATTGAAGGTATGAGTACCTAAAAATGGTATCACATACTTGGCCATTAGCTACAGTACACGGATTATGTTCTACTAGCACCAGAGTCTAATATTCCAAACAAGGAAAATCCCATAATTTGAACTTTAAGGTAAGGACGTTGGTCTCCATGAGCATGCGAAATAATGTAGTCCAGAAGAATTTTATTTGAAAAATCGGAAAGATTAGTCGTTATACTAAAAGCATTGGAAGATATAGCACCACCTAATGATTCCTCCGGGGCTCGTTTCCCGAACACTGTACTGGAGATTATATTATGGTGAGAAAACTGATAAAGATGGAGGAAGGAATATTATACTTGGCACTGTGCAACAGTTGAAAGTATATGTCAGCAAATTTCTGAGCTGAATGTGTACCTGTTAGGTGATTATATATATACCTACCAAACGCAAGCTGGTCTAATGATGATTCCGGAGCACTAACACAATGTCCAGATGGTGACCCAGCAATGCAGGTAGCCCAATCTTTTGGCTACCTCAAGTTATTTCAAAATAATAGGATACCATACCAAATAATCGTAATGTTTTTTAGACTTAATATTTTCTAGTGCTAAGGATTTAAAATTAAGGAGGGCTAGTGATTTACTATTAGATATAAACTTCCATCATATAAGCTATGAATGTTCAATTTCAGTGTCTCTCGATTCCAGGTCTGACAACTTGATTTATGAAGATTTCTACTAAGACTTCCGCAATGGTAATTACATTGAATTGAATAACTACCTTGCTACTGTTGATTGGGTTACATTATTGAGTGGTAGAGATATTAATGAATCTGCTAATCTCTTTTATAAATGTCTGACAACTGGTATCTCAAACTTTATTCCACTGCAAAAAGGTTCCGGACGTCCTCTTTTCCAAAGTGGTTTTCCTCAGCATTACGCAAACTTACCATTCCGAATCTTAGAGGTCCGAACCATAGACATGTCCTAACCCATATACAACAATGCACACTTTTGCTATGTAAATGACCGGTCTGATTTCAATTGAAATGGACAGAACAAAATTCTGAAACAGCTGAGAACATTTTTCTTCTAAGGCCCGGTTTATTCATCTTCTTTGTACCTAACTAGCTACAAGATAAATTTACCGTTCTATAATTCTATTGGACGGCGGATACCTGGCCGACCAATGGGACTACAGATTGCGTTTTTATCCGTCAAATTGCATACCTGACAATTTATCAGAAGGTGAATAAACCGGCCCTTAAGAAGAAGGAAAAAGAAGGCGGAAATGGAAGAAGCAGCTAGTATGAAGCCAAAAAAAAATTACATTATTACATTACATAATTTTTTTTACTCGTCTAAAGCTTATTTTTGATTATTTGCATATTTAAGTTAAAGGACCCCGCAATATTTAAACGGAAAATGATTACCTGTAATATTTGGATGAAATTTGAATATGTCATTAGAAATGCCGTAAGTAACATTTTTGCCATGGGCGCAACCTTGTATATGTGACAGCTGAGGCGGTATCAGCTGTCAAATATTGGAATCTAATATTCAAAAGCAGGGTAACTATGGCAGATTTTGATGAAGCAAATATCAATTCCTAATAAGTCGACCAAGGAAAATCGAAAAATGTCAACCATTTTGACATCTGTCAAAACGCTGCCAAACGGCAACACTCATATTTTTCAGTTTTCAATATTTCATGATGTGTCATTTGACAGTTTCAACGTATGTAAATTCTGAGTTCAAAATTTAAAAAAAAAAAAATACAGAACTGTCATAACCTGTCATTTGTTTTAGTAAAAAAAAGATTCCAATTTGGCTCTTTTTCATTTGAAGGTAATTTATTGGTGATAAAACATTAAACAAAGCTCATAGACATCAAATTTTGGCAGATGTCAAAATCTGACATTAGCTTTAATTGAAAAAAAAAAACTGAACTCTAGTTCTGCTCCAATTATTTGAGTTATGCTTATTTATTATGAAGCATAAAAAAAAAGTAAACACAGATTTCAAATTTTGACAGCTGTCAAAATTTGATGTCGATGAGCTTTGCTTGATGTTTTATTACCAATTAACTACTTTAAAACAAAAAAGAACCAGATATGAATATTTTTTCCTACTAAAATAAGTGGCATGTTTTGACAGTTCTGTAATTTTTTTTTTCCAATTTTTAACTTAGAATTTACATAAGCTAAAGCTGTCAAATGACACATCATAAAATACTGAAAACTGAAAAACATGAGTGCTGCCGTTTGGCAGGATTTTTACAGATTTTAAAATGGTTGACATTTTTCGATTTACCTTCGTCGACTTAGTAGGAATCGATATTTGCTTCATCAAAATTCGCGATATTACCCTGCTTTCCTGCTTTTGAATATTAAATTCCAATATTTGACAGCCGATACCGCCTCACCTGTCATATACAAAAAAAACGAAGATGGGCGATTTATTGTCGCGTTACCTTTGAAAAGGTCTCCATTAATTTTGGGCGCCTCAAAACATACAGCTACCAACCAATTTCTCAATTTAAAAAGAAGATTTCAAAAGAATGCCCATCTAAAGGCTCAATATCATGACTTTATTACTGAATACATCCATCTTTGGTCACATGTCTATTTCCAATGACCAAAATGATGATTCTGGATATTTTCTTCCGCATCATGGCGTTTTTAAAAAGTCCTCAACAACAACTAAACTAAGAGTTGTATTCGACGGTTCATATAAATCCACTTCGAATTATTCACTTAACGATATAATGATGGTAGGCCTCAATATCCAAGATAACTTATTCTTTATTTTATTACGATTCCGAAAACACAACTTTGTTCTGAGTGCCGACATTGTTAAAATGTACTGACAAGTACTCGTACAAAATGAACAAATAAACCTACAAAAAATTCTTTGGCGTTCCAACCCTAACGACAGACTTTCTGTATATCTTTTGAATACTGTCACCTATGGGACTGCATGTTCAGCCTTTCTTGCCATTAGCGCTCTACATGAAGTAGCATATAGACACATAAATGAATATCCTATGCTTCTATTATACTCCACGATTTCTACGTAGATGACTCAATACATGACTCTAATAATAACATCCTGCAGATGGGAAATGAAGAAAATAATAAAACATTAGGCCTACTTTGGAACCCTTCTAACGATAGTATACAATCTTTCATTAACACATCTGAATATCTGAACAAGATTCCAAGATATCTAAACGACAAATACTTTCTTGTGCGGCTCAAATTTTTGATCCTTTGGGTCTTCTCTCTCCTGTTACCATTACTGCCAAAATTATTCTTCAGGAGCTCTGGAAACTGAAACTTTCTTGGGACGAGACCATTCTAGCAAACTTGCACACTCTTTGGTCCAATTATCGATCAGAATTGTTAAAAATTAATGACCTAAAAATACCTCGACACGTCCTATGCTTCAATCCAATTTCTGTTTAACTACATGGTAAATGCAATCCGCCTATGGCGCATGCATTTACATCCGATGTTCTAATGCTTGTGGTAATAACACATCCAAACTATGTTGCTCTAAAACACGAGTAGCCAGGTTATCTCAGTACCCAGGCTCAAACTATGTGGTGCTCTTTTACTGGCAGAACTCACCGATAAGGTTATTTCTTCCTTTGGTGTTACCTTTGAGTCAATTACTTACTGGACTGATTCAACAATAATTGTTAGATCTTGGATTATTACATCAACCCATTAGCTGAAGACTTTTGTTGCAAACCGGGTGTCCCAAATTCAGTCACTTTCAGATAAAGGTTCCTGGAAATACATTAACACCATGGAAAATCCTGCGGACCTATTATCAAGAGGTATAAATCCTTTGGAATTGATAACTTCTGATCTTTGGTTCAGTGATCCAATATTGCTGAAACTGCATGACAGTGAATGGCCTTCTTATACTAGAGAGGCACAAATTGTTGATTTCTGAACTTCCAGAAACATGTAACAAAACTTTTATTTTCCACGTTACAACATTAACATTTGACGAAATGTCAAAATACTCTTCCCTCAAAAGACTACAAAGAATATTTGTTAACCTACTGAGATTTAAAAATAATTTATCAAAAACTCAAGAATTTCGTCAAACCGGACTTCTTACTACTGAGGAGTTAGACAATTCTCTTAACATTTTGACACAAATTGTACATCAACAATCTTTTCCAGAAGATTATTACAAATTATCCATTTCTGAACCTCTTGATGATGAGTAAGCTTCTCGGATTAAATAATTTTTTGATGAACTTACTAAATTAATTAGAGTTGGCGGACGTTTGCAAGGCTCTAACTATGACTTTCGTAAAAAACATCCTGCAATATTGCCTGCCAAACACCACTTCACAACTCTAGTTATCTGATGTGAACACTTTTCCACAAGCTCTTCTTGCTCTATCAGAGAACAATTTTAGCCAATGCCTGGTCGCAACCTTGTGAAAACGATTATTTGTGAATGTACGCGTTGTTTTAAATTTAATCCCAAACCAGAACACTATTTAATGGTCAACCTTCCGTATCCGGAGTAGACTACGCTGGTCCATTTTTACTGCCTGACAGGAAAGGTCGTAATTACAAATCCACCAAAGCATATATTTCCCTTTTTGTGTGCTTTTCAAGTAAAGCGATCCATCTGGAGGTTGTCAGTGACATTACTACCGAATGCTTTCTAGCAGCATACGATGTTTCATGGCTAGGCGCGGTAATTGCTCAAAAATAGTTTCTGACAACGGCACTACGTTTGTGGATGCCAGTAATGAAATAAGACATTTTCTTGTTCAGCACAATGTTACTATCACTGAAAATTTGTCAGGCGAAGGGATTCAGTGGAGCTTCATTCCTCCACGTGCGCCACATTTTGGTGGTCTTTGGGAGTCAGGCGTCAAATCAGTTAAATATCATTTGATTTGAAACGTGTAATAGGTAACAGGGCCTTAACTTATGGAGAGTTTTGCACGGTTTTATATCAAATAGAAGCTTGTCTCAATTCAAGGCCACTGTACCCACTTTCCCAAGATCCTAATGACGTCAACTCTCTCACTCCCAAATATCTGCTAATTGGAGAATCATTGAATGTCTTGCCAGACCACCACTTTGTTGGAGTAAAAGAAAATTGCCTATCCAGGTTCCAACGAATGCAACAACCCCTGCAGCACTTTTGGTCAAGGTGGTCAAAAGAATACATATCACATCTTCAGCAACGTGTGAAATGGAAAAAGCACTGTCAACAATCATCGAAAATTGGCACTTTGGTGATTGTTAAAGATGATGGACTTCCTCCTCTAAAGTGGCAATTAAGGAGAATTCTACAAACACATGCTGGAAATGACAATATTATCCGATCTGTGACGATTAATGACTGCATCAAGTGAAATTAAACGTCCATTGGTGAAAATTTGTATTTTACCCAATCAAAATGAATAAATTATTTTTAACTTTTGAACTTTTTACTTTATTTTGAAACCCTGAGGACTTTCAAGGACCACAAACGCACAAGTTTGCCCAACGACGCTTGAAGAAAACATCAGCTGTGACGAGGCCCTTTTCTCTACCCTCTCTACACTTAATTTTGATACCTGCTGCGACAGGGAACGTACCACCACTAATTTGAGCTTTTTTACTCCGGTTTAGGTCATTATCTATACTTGAGTATGGGATGGTATTAATTTTGTTCCAATCCTTTGCCTGTATTTTGTTGCTGAGCGTCAGATGTAGGTGAAGTAGTTCTCTATTTACTTCAGCCAAATCCTTCCTTGTTTTGTGGATTCGCTCTCGGAGAAAAGCTTTTTCAGTGCTGGAGTAGATGCGATGTGTCTTGAAGGAGCGCTTAATCTGCAAGAACGCTGGAACGATGTTAGGGATATTATTCTTCAACCTAATGATATCCTGGTCAGCTTTGATGTCTTGTCCATATTCACAAAACTGTCATTGACAGAATCTCTTGATTTGATATCAAGTACCTTCCCCAATGACATAGTTGAGCTTTTCCACCGGACATGTCTCACTGGTAGTTACTTCCTGTGAAACGGCGATTGTTACGAACAAACGGACGGTGTAGCTATGGGAAGTCCGCTCAGCTCGGTCATAGCCAACTTCTTTATGGAGAAATTCGAGAGGAAAGCTATAGAATCTTTTGACCACACACTAACGGTATGGCTTTGATGCGTAGATGATACTATTGTGGTTTGGAGTCATGAGGAAGAGAAGCTTAACCAGTTCCTAGGCCACCTGAACGAGCAACATTCTAGCATAGAATTTACCATGGAAAAGGAGAAAAACCAGGAAATCGCCTTCTTAGATGTGCTCATAAAGAAATCTCGAGGAATACTAAGCCACACGGTGTACCGAAAACCTACACACACAGACAGGTACCTGCATGCACTCCCAAACCACCATCCAAGGCAAAAACGTGGAACTATAATAACGTTAACAGAACGTGCTCGGAACTTCTGCGAGCCACAATATCTCGAGCAAGAACTGGATCATTTCAAGTCGGCCTTTCTATCAAATGGTTACAATACATCTGAAATCGACAGGGCCATGCAACCCAAAACCACCACACGACAAAACGTGGATGAACAACCAGTGGTGGCTAATGCATATCTACCTTTCATTTCTCGGGTGACAGACAGGATAGGGAAAGTCTTGAAGAAACACAACATAAAAACAATCCTCAAGCCAACAAGGAAAATACAGCAATCAATCAGATCAGCCAAGGATAAGAGGAGTCCACTGTCAAGCGCTGGGGTCTATCGTATACCATGCACATGTGGTAAGGTGGAATGACAAAAAGATCTATGGGAACCAGGATGAACAAGCACAAAAGAAACTGCAGACTAGGACAATCGGAAAAATCGGCAGTTGTGGAACATGCGCTTAGTGAAGGGAATCATTAAATACTCTTTGGTGAGGTCAAGCTTCTTGCACCGACTTCCGGATACCACAATCGTCTTGTACGTGAAGCTATAGAAATCCACAAACATACGGAGAACTTCAACAGGAAAGAAGAAACACTAAAACTTAATCAAATCTGGAACCCGATCCTCAAAAACACAAGGAAGATCCCATTGAGCACAGAGAAAGTTAAGATTAGCCACATGCCGCGAAGCCCCGCCCCTCCCCCACCACAGTCACTCACACATAAATACAACTTACGGTCGGGAACGCATCAGTCTGCTACCAGAATCGGACATGGAAGCACCTCTGAAGATGCTAGTCACGCGTGCTAGCGAAACGTCAGGAAGAAATTTTAACTTACGACGGCCATTAAGCCCAAATGAAAACCACTTATCAATTAACCTGGGCCGCGGAATGTGAGGCTTTCGGGTTTATTATAAAAGATATTATGTTATATATTTCTAGTCCACAATCACCCAAGAGATGTAGCAATATAGCTCTTTGTTTTTTTACCTCAACTTTTTCAATTCGTTGGGGAGACAAACAAAGCTTAATGCGATAGGGGGACAAACATGTCATTGAGGTTATGTGTGTAACATCCTAACATCAGCTAGTGCCTAGCGCTAGGAATAATTAAAATTCGTAACTTTTCTTTTCTTTTCTCATTTCATACCGTTGATTATTACATATTTAGAAGCTCAGTCCACACCTAAAGTCTTGTCCACACCCGAGTCCACACCTAAGTCGGCTTTGCCGATCAAGCCGGGTAACTTTCACCAAATTCTCTATAAATTGAGCAAACTGTTATTTGGAATTAGAAAAATCAGAAACCTTAATTTTTTTCTTAAAAGATCCTTGAGGTGTCTGAGTGCGACCATGGTTATTATTATTCAGTGTCATCAGTGTTCTCCTGTCACTTATCGTATCATTGTCATTTACACATTTAATTTTACTCGTTTTCAAATAAAAAAGCCTCAAAATGAACGCCACAAACATGCTTTCGGCCAACAAAGTGAAACTGCACGGCATGACCTCAAACCGTTGGACGACCAAAGACAAAATAATCCAGTACAAGGGCCTGATAAAGCTGTACACCAGAGACAGGAAAATCATCGAAACCGACACCGGAGTAGCGGAAAAAAGGCAGCAGCGCGAATTGAAAAAGTTGCAAAAGGAAATCGAACAGAACCGCAAAGACTTAGACAACGCCATTAGAGGCGACAAACAAAAACTTCGAAACACTCTGGCCGATCACAGAGAAATGCAGCTGGCCTATCATAACTCACAACCGGAAAAAGTAATCGAAATGGTGGCCCAAGTAAACTTCAACAAACGCAAATCCAGAGATTTGTTGCAGTACAAAAAAAAGCTCAAAACCCAAGAGCTTATTGATCGTAAATTGGGCTATGCAGCATTAGAAGATTACATCAAATTCGAAGGCTTAAGCTGGGGCAACATGCTTCCGTGCGAGCGCCAAGCGCACATAATAACAGGCAAAGTGCAAGACGCCATCCTAAAAAAAGAAGCTGCCATCGTAATAAAACAATCTTACAAAGAAATGACTGCCATAATGAAAAAGGACGCACTATACTTTGACGCTATATTAGACGCTATAAGAAACGATGGCATAAGTCAAGGCAAATGTATGATAAATGCCACAAAACTAGGCCAACTGGCCACAGAGTATTTGGACGATCGTAGACAAGAGTTTCAACTTTTAGAAAAAGTAATCAAACGAGAATTGGCCACTAGACGCAAAGACTTGGAAACGGTTAGCCAGCGTGTGCACAATTTTGGAACAAGCGTTAAAAACCTCTTAAGACGCGACAGTGATTTGAATTTAGGCAAAATCACTTTGCAACCCTCTGAAAGTTTTGCCGAGTTACAACGCGATTTTCAAAACGTCGAAGCAACTTTGACTTTTTTGAAAAATGCTATTTTTGTACCAAGTCTGGAGTCGATTTATCCTTGCCTGCAAGAGCAGCTGAGGCAAAAAGAGAGGTTGGAGTTGATGGTGAACAAGTGCGAAGAGGATCGCGATCAGTTGCTGAAAAAAAGCGATCATGCTGGTGCTAAAGAAGTGGAGTTAGAGAATACTCGAGTCGAGACTACGTCGCAATATAAGACTAACAAAAGAGAGTTTATTGAGCAGATTGAGGAGCAAAGGGAGAAGGTGAGACAGTTGGAGAAATTGATTAATAATCGTTACAATCTGTTAGCCAGAATCAGAATTTCTTTAAAACACCTCCAGCTCCTCTCCACGCTAGTCAGCGACGTTAAAACTGGCAAACAAGCGATAAAAATGCGAGATTCGGGTTTGCATGACCAAGCACCAACCAAACCCACCTCAGACGAACTCGACGCTTCAAAAATCATCCCGGATTTGCTCAAAAAGTTTGCGAAACTAGCTCAAAATTCCAAAGACCTGTTGAAAGACCAAGCGCGAGACGAAGGCTACAAGAGCTTTGAGGTTTTGATGCATCAAGCCACGAAAGATGTTGAGCAATTTACTACTTTGAGTGAAGAGACGCTCGTTGGGTCGGTTTTTCTGGATACTCATGTTTTAACTAGAGTTGATATTAAGAAGCAGAGCCAGGAAATTGTCCAAGCCAATTTGGTTACTGATGAATTTATGCCCGAGGCACAGAAAAAGAAGAAATTCTTTTAATGCTTATTGAGAATTTTGTATTAAGTAGTTTAATAAAAAATTTGGGTGTGTGTGTTTTTTTTTTAAATATTATTCACAGACAGATTTTCAAATTTGATAATCTCCTTGTGTGATATCTGTGTAATTACTATGGTTTGAATATAACAAAACGATAACCAAAGTAACCGCATCGGTTGACAGATGGTTACTGAAAATTCAGGTTAGGTACTTTGAGAAAGCAAATATGAAATGAAAAATTGGTAATTGACAAAAATTACAGAGATGAAACCAATAGAACCGACATCCGATGATGACCCCAAAAGTAACCACTTTTCCAGAAACCAGAGTAATTTGATTACTTTCGGACCGCAAAACAACAATCCTGATAATATTCGTACCACAGCCTTAAGTTCACCATTAATTTTGACAATTTGGTATCTATCATACAAATAGTTTTGAAACAACCCTAACACAATTCCCCTCACTCCATATTGTTCTAGAACAAGAAAAAGTTTATCGTGAGGAACTGTGTCGAATGCCTTAGCTGAGTCAATAATGACAGCTGCACACTTTCTTCCCAAATTCAAATTCTTTACAATCTCAGTTCTCAGTGCCCCATCATTGCGTTAGACTTTTCTATGAAACCAAATTGGTTTTCAGACAAGATTTTGTTTTTTTGAAGGAATGTACAATTAAGACATCTCTTAAACAACTTGGCAAAGGTACTTATCATGCTTATTGGTCAATAGCTTTTAATAAAAGTCCTAGAGCCACTTTTGTGTATAGGAGTAATAACTAATTTTGAAATGAGATAGGATTATTCCTGTTTCAAAGCACCCATTTATAATGTGAGTGAGCGGTTCCAGGATTTCTATGTAGATGAGTATGTTCTAATATCCTTCTAATATGTTATGCCATCTAGGCCGGGATAGCTTGAATTTTTTAGAGAGGATATAATAATATGTTTTATTAATAATAAGTCGGTTATTTTGCAAATACAGGGTTTACAAAAAATGGGTTTTTCACAATTTCTAAGAAATTGGTTGACCACAATGTCAATTTGAAAGTACTAAGCATACAAAAATATATATCTATAAAAACTTGAAAACAAATGGTGGTGATAAGAGACAAAGAAAAACAGAAAGAAAAGGAAAGAAAAATCTTAAGTACAGCAAAATCACCATTAAGAGTTTTGGTTATTATATGGTTTCTAAAAACTGGTAAACTTAAAGCCTTGATATACGCTGGTAACTTATTGTATATGTTTGCTGTTTTGTAGGAAAAACTGTTTTCAATAAGTTCGGAACTATGGAAGGGTATTTTTAAAGAAGCTGATGCATGTCTAATTTCTCTCGCATGATGGGCCATATTTCTGAATTCCATCTTTTCATACAAATATCTGGGTTGCTTAGCCAAAATCACTTTGTGTATGAAAATGCAGAGATGCACCCATCTTCTTTCATTCATGCTCAGCATGTCTTCCAAGTATGGAGAAATATGGTTTCTTCATGGGATTTTTAATGCGAAACAAACGCAAGAATTATTAATTTTTATGTAACCTTCTTGCATCTTCAGCACATAAATACGGAACATAAACAGTATCACAGTAGTCTAATTTAAAAATTACTAAAGAATCGCACAGTCTTAACTTTGCACTTTGGGGAAAATAGTTTTTTTTTTTATTATAAAGTCCTTTCAATCAGTGGCGGCTGGCCCTAAGGGGCCAAGGGGCCGCGGCACTGGCGCAAAATATGTCGGTCATTTTATAATTTGATCCCGACGGAAAAATTTCTGTCGTTATTATTCCTAAATTTCCTAAACAATAATTTAAGCGACTGACTAAACTATACTCGCTGGACTATCCGTCCGAGCCCATCTCACAATGGCCCCGCTGCAACACGGCAATTACGTTGGAGAAGGTCATGATACACCGCACTGTCTCACATTCAGACATTTTCTTGGGAAACATGTACAAAACCCAAAACCACAAATCCCCAAAAAACTTACCTTTCAACTTCAGCTTAATCTTGCTGGGCACGTTGCTTGTGAACCGACTCTTAGACTTGGATTTGAGGCTTTTAGAACCTTCAGGAGGCAAACGAGTAGCGGGATCCGAACCCCAAGTACAAATACTCATCTTGATGACCAAATCCGGAATCTTGCCTGTATTATTTTTAGCTTCATCAACAAAATTTTCCGGGACAATGTGCACCTGTTCAGCTTCGGCTTCCCGGATTCGAGCGTGCATTTTTTCCACCATTTCTTGGGTGCCGATTACAGCCATAACAGTGTTGGAGATTTTTGTTACTACTTTACCACCTAGGGCTTGGATGTCTTTTTTCAAGACGTCTTTGCCTCTTTGAGGCTTGCCTAAGATTACGAATTGCATTTCGTACAAGGCCGGCATGACTCTTATGATTCTTGGCCTAAAAAATAACAATTTCAGTAAGAATAAGCAAACAAAAACATACTCCTGGACAAAATTATCGCACCACTGCACATAAGCATCACCATAAGCAGTGGTGCGATAATTTTGTCCAGGAGGATAACTTACATTCCATCAGCTTCATCTTTAACTTCCTTCTTAATAGGGACTGTAGGATTGACATCTTTAAAAACCCTGTTTCTAGCAACATATTTGTAATTCTTCAAAAAAGCATATTCTTCTTTTAAATCTTTCGGTACTAGAAATTTGGTTCTTTCAGGCTCTTTGGTGACATTAGTACATTTAGCCCATTCGCTCAAATTTCCAGTACAAGTGTAGCCCAACTTATGGAAAACCAGTTGACCGTCTTGACACTCTTTGCACCTTTTCAAAGCCCCAAAAGTCATCAAATCACTGATTCTATCCAGCATCCTTTCGGTACCTTCAGGTATATCTTGTTTGTTGTAGTTGAGCAATGCTACTAGTTGATTTTTCTTTAATGTACTAAGCGCATCTCTGTGTTTAAACATAATTTTGTTTTGCTCTCTGTATTCTTTGTCCAGCAAATCCTCTTCAACATCCAGCTTGATTTTTTTAGCAATAACTGCAACTTCTTCTTGTTTAATTGCAGGCAAAGCTTTGGCAGCCTCTTGCTGATCCGCCTTATCAAGACCTTTATAACCAGGGATTTTGGTGGCACTTTCATAGTAACCCAATTCGGAACGCAGCTGCGCAAAGCATGTTAAATGGTACCATCTATCAGTACCACCACCTATTTTGAGAGATACTTCAGAGTCGTAATCTTTTTTTGCAACACGCACCTAAAATTTCCAAAAACAATTGAATTGTCCCAATAAGTAATAGTAATTTTGTTACCTCATTCATTAATATTTTCTGTTCACAGCCGCAACAAACCGAGCGGCCACTTTTAGCATACTGTATAGTGAAATCTTTCAATGCGGCCTTTGTGGCTCTTTCGGCCTCCTTGTCAGTGGCGGTTCTTTTTTTGCCTTTGGCGGCAGGCAAAATGACTGAAACGTTTGAGACGTGGGTTCTGATGCGATCCTGGTCCTCTATGCGCAGGGATTCGAAATGTTCGATGTCGTCCGTAGTCTTGACTTTTTGCTTCTTGAAGAAGCACTCGAAGTGGAACCAGTTTGTTTGTTTGCCATCGAAGAAAGCAGACTGGAATATATTTATTTAATGTGTTGTGATACATATAACAAGATTTTTTGATTGTTATTCCGAATGGGAAAATGTATTGCGGAAAAGGGAAATTTAAATTTTAGTTCAGATACTTATACAATTTTAAACATCAGAAATAGGAACTAAGGGATTTGAAGCCAAAATATATGTTAAAAGGACTTCAGGAAAATTGAAAAATCCAAAAATTCACCCCAAATTACTTAACGCGATTTTATCTCAGGAACTATAGGTCCAAATGAGCTGCAATTTTCAAAGTTTGAAGACCTCTAGTGGGATAAGAATCGCTAAAACTTTCAGCTTTCTATCTATCATAGAAAAAAAGTTATGATTCTTCAAAGTTTTTAAAAATCCATGTCTAAAGGAGGGACTTTTTTCCAAAAGGTTATATTTATTAAAGCAACAACTACTCCATCAATTCTAACATTTCTAACTTCACTGAAACACCTCCTCCTTGAAGATTAAATGGGGGCTTTCACATAATGAAGTTTCACTGTTATTTTTACAAGTCAACTCGAAATTATAATTTAGAGGTGATGGCGGAAAACCTAATAAGTTTGGGATGCTACTACTATGATGAGGATTGAGCATTTTGTTGACTATTTGAAGTAGTCCCAGAAGATCTGACAGAACTTGGACTATTATCAGTTCATACAGGAAATATATTGCTAGGATGAACTTTGTCATTATCATTAGAACTCTCATTGGAATAGAATTTCAGTTCACACAATAATCTGTATCATTTGAACTATTATATGTATTATATGTACGCCAAACAATTCCATTATTGCTTTCTTTCTTAGGGCGGGTATTATAAAACTGCTTTGACAGTTAACTTGAAGTTAACTTTTTGAATTACATGTAATTCCAGAAGTTAACTTTAAGTTAACTCTCAAAGTAGTTTTATAATACCCACCCTTAACCCAATAGGATATTAGCTTGGAAACAAAAATTGCAGGGGTATCAACAGTCTCCCTCTCCTGACGACACATCCATTGCAGTGTCGCAATACTGCCCTACACATGCACTGCAACTTTCGGTGAATTGGTGCATTTATCAATTTGTTTGCAGCTACAACTTTTTGAACAGCCAAATTTGCATCACAAAACAAAAATTTTTACATAAAATCTGGATTTCATCCCCAGTCTTCCGAAATCAACTGTTCCATGCCAAATATGAACCTGCAAATAACCCCTTCCCATGTGAAGCAGTGCTGTTCCAGTAGTTGGTGGTAGTATCGATAACTCAGAACTGCTGAGGGCGGGAGGCGGAAATTACTAGTAATTCCAGAAGTTAACTTCTAGTTTTCACCCACCCTATCCCTAAATAAGTTTTGTCTAGCAATTACGCGATTATTTGATTTTCCTGCTGCACCAAATGTTTATGCATATTGTCTGTACTACACTACACTGGTCAATGTGTAGAACCATTATCTGTACCTTTACCCACGGCCACAACAGTGACAACCGATTCTACGTCTGCTCTATAGGTTGTGGCAGTGTTCGCAATAAGATAATTTGCATCGCTATTGGGTTGCAAAACTGAAATACCAGCATTGATAGTTCTTTAGTTAAAAAGTTTATTAATTCATATTTATTTGAAGTCAATGCCAAAAAATTTTACTTAAATGATGATGAGGATTTTTTTTGTTGTAATCGGATAAAGAAAATCCAATATTGTTGTATTTGGGTCCCAGAATGGGTCACTTCCCCTTATGGGATTCATGAGGATCTTGACCTGGTACTTACAAATATCACAGAGGTCCAGGTGATGGCAGTCACGGAAAGAGAAAGAAATAAGTTTTGAAGTTAAACATACTGTCAAAGCAAATTTTGAAATCTGAAGGTACGGTGACTCTATTACCACAGTGGCGACAATTGCCGTCTTCTTTTCGTCGAAAACATTGATCCGATGACTTAGGCATATCAAATACGTCGTTTTCAATTTTTCATGATGGATGTCCATTTTAATCATATACCTATATGTCTAGTGTTTCACTATCGACGGTTTGGACAACATGATGTTTTTTCCACTGGCCTTTGTTTATGTGGAGAACCCTACATTTACTTATCCCAAATTCCATACAGACGTCTGAGGTGAATGTTTCTGTAATTTTGAGGAGGCTTTTCAACTGTGTTTTTGTGGCCGCGTAGAGTTTGATGTCGCATCCATATACAGTAAGTGGTTTATTTGGTGTTGGTTCTCTTTCTAGTGTCTGAGTTGAAAACCGTGCTTCGTATTGTTAAGTGTAATAGAGAGTGGATTAAGACAGAGGCAGAACCATAGAACGCTAAGTAAATCGTCTTGGAAAATACCACGTCTGACACGGAGTTCTTCAGTTTGGATGTATTCGGTTTCTGTATTTAGTCGGATTTTGGTTTCCCAGGATTTCATGATTTGCACAAGAAACTCTCTGAGATTCTTGTTGATTTTGTAGATTTCAAGCAAAAACCCAAAAAACCAATAGAAACTTTCAAAAACCCGGGTTTTTACCAACCCTGTGTGCTTAAAGGTTTTAATTTTCTTGACAGTTATCTTATTTGTTTTCTTTAAAAGTAAATATTTACCTTTCCTTGAACGTATAGTATATAGACATAGTTGTTTGTTTCATGAAATATTTCCAAAATTACCAAAATAACCGAAAAATTACCGGTAAATTACCACTGAGAAAGAACAGATGAAAATTACCGGTAAACTTCAATCTCTAGATGATCTTATATAGCGTTGGAAGGCAGGTGATAAGTCTATAGTTTGAGGGGTTTTTAGTGTCCAAGTTTTTGGGTTTCATGTAGGTTATGCCTTGGGTTAGAAATCTGGAAAACCTCTGTGATTCTTGGATGATTTTGTTAAATTTGTGTGTGAGAGCTTCATGTGTAGCTGTAAACTGTTGATACCAGAAGTTTTGAATGTTGTCTATGCCAGGGCATTTTCAGTTGTGTGTGTATTTGATTGTATTTGTGATTTCTTCTGTTGTAAGTACGGAATCTGGTTGTTCTGGTATATGTTTGTGTCTCTCTTCTTCGGTTTTAATCCAGGTGTTGTTGTTGTTGTGCTGCTTTGATTCTTACCACATGCTCTTCCAGTAATTCGTTAGTTCTTGTTTGACTTACTTGGAAAGATCTGCCCATGAAATGTTTGTAAATGATCGTACTAATGAAAACATAAAATTTTCTCGCCTTAGGCCTTAGGGTACAGTGTAAGAAGTTGTCTATTGCTGAGCAAACAAACTATTTAAAAACGTTGATGAATCCTGTAAAGTAAATCTGAAGTTATTCTGGAAATATGTGAATATTCAAAACAAATCTTACAATGAAGAAAATCTTGAAAATAATCAACTCATTGCAAACGCATTTGGTAAATATTGTATAACAGTTTACTCAGCAAGTAGTACAGGTACACCAATCAGTATTAACTGATCAAAGCAATAATACTCAAAATATAAATTGTGGAAATATCAGTGTAAATAACATACATATAGAGCAATACCGGGTCTTTCTGAAAAATTACCAGTTGGTCCTGATGGAATTCCTTTTTTTTAAATTAAAAAGTGTGTATTCACTACTACTCACAATTACTAATCTTCTTTTTTTGTTGTTTAACCAGTCACTCAATGGTGAGACTTACCCAGATTATTAGAAACAAAGCTACTCAGTCCTTACCCATCTTTAAAAACGGTGATAGACATAATGTGCAAAACTATCGTAGTAACTGTAGTACACAATCTGCTATACCAAAATTATTTGAAAAATTGGTTTCTGATCAGTTACCATTTGCATGTAAAGGTCTGATTAATGAAGCACAGCCTGGGTTTATTAAAGGAAAGACCACTGTAACAAACCTGCTGTCCTACCAGACATCACTCTTAAGTGCATTGCAAGATAGGGCACAGGTTGATGTAGTAGGTATAACCAATTTTTCGAAGGCATTTGATAGGGTTGACCATGATATATTGATGCAAAAACTGTTAGACATAGGCTTTAATACACCATGGTTAAGTGGTTTCTTGTCTGACACAATACAAAGAGTTAAAGCATCATCTGGTGGCCACTGCTCACCTCTGCTTTTTAACATATTTGTTTAATGATATAGTAACATGTTTTAAATATAGTGCACCTTAATTGTTCTCTGATGATTTGAAATTGTTTCTTATGTATGTGATCAATAATTATTACAGGAAGACCTGAATAGTCTCTTTGAGTGATGTGTTAAGCAAATGCTCTCACATAAGTTTTTATAGAATAAAAAGCAAACTGTACTCTATCAATAATCTGCTAATAAAATATAGTGAAGTAACCGACCTGGGTGTATCATTTAATGAGAGTTTAAGGTTTATGGAACATAATAATTTATTTATTCATTTATTTATTGATACATCTTCACAAACACCATAAAGGTAATTACAAGCAAAGGTAAAATCGAGGGTGAAAGAACAAAGAGAGTAAGAAAGAAAACAATAAATATGAACTTAAAACTAACACAAAAGACATACACAATAAATAGATAAAATTCTTCTAATTCTAACAAGGAAACATTACAGAATCACAGATTAAGATATTAAACCAATTAACTGATAGAGGCTAGTGTTGAATACCTATATTAAATGGGTTTTCCCTGTTCAAGATATTGCACTGTTCCATCATTTCATTAAGAGGAGATAGTTTATACTGACTAGTTTTAAAAATATCTATGCTAAGAATCTTTAAGTTAATTTTAGGTACCCTAAAATCCATAAAATTTATCAAACAACAATGTTTGTACTTTATATTATTGACTATATAGTATATGAATATCACAGCTTGTTCATTTCTTCTTTGTACAAGGGATTTTATATGGAAACTGTTTAGTATTGCCCTATATAAAAACGGGTACAGTCCATTTTGCCTAACATACAGGAATCTCAAGAAACGCTTTTGAACTTTTTCAATGTGATTTAAATGTTACTGTCCAGATTTGAGCAGCATACTCTAAGTGTTGTCTCACTAGTTGAATTAGTGTTTCCATACTCAGATTTTTACCATTTCTTAAGATGAAGCTGAGGCACTTGTATGCCTTATTTGCACCCAACTCCTTCACCTCACTTATTCGATCCAAAACCCTACCATTATTTACACTATAATTAAACTCAATATAGTTGGATTTTCTGGCAATAGACATTACAGAACACTCTTTAATATTCAATTTCATCTTGTTCTTCTTAAACCATTCACTCACATAATCCATATCACCCTGTAGCTGATTACAATCTTCACTCTCAGAGTCTACTCTGAATAACTTGTCGTCTGCAATTAGTAGGCCCACAGAACATAGACATCTAAAAGTTGATTCATGCATATTGTATGATATTAACTCTCAAATTTCATGTCCAGAATTATAATTCAGTTTCATATACCATGAAGGCAATTAGGTTACAATTAGGTATCCATTTTGCAAAAATTATCATAGAACAAACTATGGCCTTAACTCACCAACTGATAGGTGCATGTCTATTAAATCACAAGAACATAGTAATATCAGGTATTAGTAAAAGAATGTTCATAGATCAGATTGGATGAATAAGATGGGATCAAGGATGGGATGGGATATTGTATTATTTGGTAATTAATTAGTTACTAGTAAGTAATAGAATAGTGATAACATGTTGCCAACTGTATTTATTGCAAGCTTATAACATGTAAAATAAATAAGTAAATAAATGAACGAATGAAAAATGACACTTTAAATCTTTTCCTAAATAATTGTTCGGCCTCAAATGAATATACCTACCTTATTTTTGTTAGGTATATCGTCTGGACCTTCTGCTGAAAGCCCAAAGATGTGAATTGTATTATTGAATTTAAGTTGTATAAAACTAAAACCTACCGATTATCCAATTCGAGAAGCGAAGATATTACCTGTAATTAAACTACCTAATCCTTGGTCCACCATAAACCCTAAAATTCCCAACAGCTATCCTTGATGCTCATTTTTTTCTTTGATGTATAAAGGTACCCATATAGATATTTTGCCAATATTTATTGAGAGGTTTCCAGATATAACTAGATTAGGAACATTTAAGAACGGACGTACAAGTCGATTTGAAAAATATTACAAAAAGGAGGAAGTCAGTCATGATACAGCTTTGGTCATAGATAAACCTTTTTGTAATACTCTCTCCTCCTCAGATAACTAAGTATCATTTTGTAATAAAGAGTATTTCAAATAGAAGTTATGCAGTGTTGTTTTCATTTACACAGGCATAAATAGGGGCCCCTCCCTCTTGAAATGACAAGCAGAAAACCAAATCATAATTTGATTTTCTGTTATTCAAAGTCCTCTCAATCTATAGTCTCATTGTGAGCTCATAAGCAGTAAAAATTCAAAACTATGAAGTACTAAAACTTACCTGAGTCTTGGTAGCCATACGTAGCACCGATTGGGAGATGGGGGTTTTGCATGCCTTGCATTTAGCCCGGTTGCTTTTCGAATACTCGGCACGAAAAGGCAAATCCATTTTGTATCGATTCTTCAATAAAACAACAAGGAATTTAGGATCTTTTCAGCCCCAAATAATTACAACAACAAATATTTTGTAGTATATCAAAAAAGACGACAAAAGACGCAGTTTGAAAATGTCTGGTTATGGGATGGTAGGTCAAGATTAAGCGGGAAAATCTTGACAGTTGACACTGTTGAAAGAATCAATTAGAATTGAAATTTGGCAACAGTGTTGAACTGCTTATTTGTAATTTTTTCATGAGTTTCTTTTAAATAAGTAGATTTTAATTATTATTTTTTATTAATTAGGCATTTTTATTGGTTGAAAAGGCGATTTGCTTTACTAAAAATTAATAATCTTCCTGATAAAATAGAATTTGTGCGAGCGCCCTCTATTGACGGATATAGTTTTTCACAGTTCAAGCAGTCATAACATAACCTCACTTAAAAATCAAAACAAATAAACATGTGTTAGTATGTTTTGTGCCTGTAAAGTGAAATTAAAACAAAAATTACGGATAATTTGATTGTTTTGCAATGGCAGACCCTTCACTGGACACCATACTAAAGACATTTTCACAAATCACCGAAAATCCGGCAAGTTTTCTCAGTTTAAACAAATCCGAGTCGGAAAATTTGAAATCAAACATCAAAAACGTGTACGATTTCACGAAAAATGAAAAACTCGAACCAAAAGGCAAATCCTTAAACAAATTAATTGTAAAGGATTTCGATTTGGAACAAATCTGGCAACAAATCGAACTACAAAACGATGACGTTATGGGTGGAGTTGTTAAGGATTTGAGTAGCTTGTTGGTTAATAAAAATCAGTTGGTTTTTGAGTCTTTGAATTTGGAGCAAGATGAGGATTTGCAAAAAGAACAAGAAGTTCGTATTGAGTCAGATGATGATGAACTAGAATTTTCAGAAGATGAAGAAGAAAGTGATAGCAATAAGGAGCATGATGATAAGCAAACTACAAATTTTAAGCCAAAAGGGTCTATTGTAGATGATGATTTTTTCAAGCTGAGTGAAATGGAAGAATTTTTAAGTAAGTCATATATAATTATAAAATCAAGGGATTTTTCACCTTGTCAATCGGTGTGCAAATCACTGGTTAATTTCCAGATTTGTAGGCAATATATGTTAATGTTAATGTAATTGGTTAATAATACCCATTAATAACATATAAATACCTGTGGATATGTCAATAGGTACCTAGAATTCTGCCAAGACAAATATTTGTCAATAGCATGGCAAGGTGTTTTTTTATACAGGGTTGTCGTTATGTATGGAAATGGTCTGATATTTCAGAACCGGCTTGAAAAAAAATTACAATATTTGGCTCTAGTAAACTTCACGGCCCCAATAATTTTGCGTTCTTATTCGATTTGTTTGAAAGCTTACATCAAATAGAACAGATTAAAACAAAAAAATCGTTGGATCGCACAGATTTTCCTCAAAAAATCACCAACTTAGTCCACAAATGTATTAGTTGGGGAGCTGGCGTCAAAAACATGCAAGAGTTTTCGCAAGGCGGATATTTTCAAAATAGGTCGCACTTTAGTGCTAGAATGCTAGTGTACAGTCAGCACTCACAGTTCCGGGACAGCTGGCTCTGGGACGCGGGCAAAGTTGTAATTTTAAGAAGCATCTAAACTGTTTTCTCAAAGCTCAAAATTTATAGAAATTTTGCACATTATCTGTTTGAAGGTCACAGATAACGTATGTAAATCGTCAGACGTCTAGTTCGTTGCAAAAAGGAGGTCAGACGTCCTCAAAGTTCTTATTTTATGGCATTTTCTTCAAATATATTTGTCAAATACCTGCAAAAATATATTTTGACAGGACACCGAAGAAAATGAATGATGAACTTTTAATTTTCTTTTGAAATTGCTAATAGTAACACATGACTTTATTTCATCCGGTAGCTGATTAAACTCATTCATACCCTTAAAGAATACCGATCTTGTTGCTGATGCCTCACATCTATGTGGTATATGGAAGTTGTTCTGTTGTCTAGTGTTGTGATCATGCAACTGGCCACTGTAAACTATTTTTCTTGTAAGATACAATGGAGCAAGTCCAATTTTAATTTTAAAAATAAACACCAGTACATTATATTTTGCATATTCCACAACTGGAAGCCACTGAAGCAATCTAAGCATACTTTTTATAGGAATATATTTGTTACATGAGAGTATGATTCTCATACATCTATTTTGCAACTTTTGCAGTCTTTGGATATCATTCTGGTTAAGTAAATAAAGTATTGTTGCGCAATAATTGAAGTGTGGCAAAACTATAGTGTTAAAAACAACAATTCTAGACCAAGCTGAGAGAGATGCTGAACAGCGCCTAAGATAATTTGTCTTAAAACTAATTTTAGAAACCAGAATGTTGCAGTGATCTTTAAATTTTAATTTGTTATCAAGAATTACCCCAAGATACTTAATCTTTTGAACTTCTTCCAACTTATTGTTACCCATTTCAATTGAATAGTTGTTCATATTAAAAAGACTTCTGTTATTATGTGTACCAATAAACATAAATTTAGTTTTACTAACATTAATCTTCAAAAGATTCGTTGATGCATAATTGTCCATTTTATTTAGGGCATTATTAACAGTTTCCACCAACAAATCCAAATCTTTTGAAAAGGCGTAGAATAGACTATCATCGGCGAAGTTATGCAATTCAATGTCATGTATTACATCTGGCAGATCGTTTATATAAATAATGAACAATAGTGGACCCAAAACACTTCCCTGCGGTACACCATGCTCGTTAACTATCTCTATTGAACTAATTCCATTCAGTCTAGTTAATTGTCTTCTTGATGTTAGATAGTCTCCAAACCATCTCAACACCACATCCCCAATTCCAATTTTTTCTAGTTTCTTAAGTAATCTGTGCCGATCGACCGTCTCAAAGGCTCTCTGTAAGTCCAGAAAAACCGCTAGTACATTGAAACCCTGGTCATATTTTATTTTAAATTCATCCAGAATGTACTGTATTGCAGTTTCACAGCTGTGACCATTTCTGAAGCCTGACTGCTTCTCTGTTATAGTATTATGTGTGTTTAAAAATTCGAGAAGCTGATCATATACAACTTTTTCAATTATTTTCTCGATGACAGGAAGTGTATTAATGGGTCGAAAATTAGATGCTTCTATTGAGTTAAGTTTTTTTTGAACTGGTATTATTGTAGCGAGCTTTAGAGGATCTGGAAACTTTCCTTGTTCCAGTGAACTATTTATTAAATTAATCAGGGGTGCTTCAAGAGACGGATATATATTCCTTATTAATGTTACATTCAAGTAATCGGGACTATTTTCGTTTTTCAATGACATAACAATTTTAAACAGGGAATCAGAATCTATTAATCTGAACGAGCTAAAGTCTGCATTATTTTTTGTGAAGTCACTCAAGGTATCCATATTCCCTGAATCAGGTTTAATTTGTTCAATTATGGAATCTATGCTGTCTACATAAAATCTGTTTAGTCTTTCAGGCAGACTGTTTTTATCCATTATTATTTCTCGTTCCATCTCTATTTTATCAATGTTTGCATGATTTTTCTTTGGTAAAATCTCTCCCAATACATTCCACATTGCCCTAGGATCCCGTTTACATCTATCCACTTTTTGCTCATAGTACTTTATTTTCTCTTCTTTGATAGTTTTAACTACTTGATTTCGCTTATCTCTATAAGATCTATGTGCATCTTCACTCTTGAGCAATTTGTAAATCTTATAACTTTTATCCCTTAGTTCTGCTGCTTTTTTGACATTTTCATTCCACCATGGTTTATATCGTGGTAAAATTTTAACCTGTTTTAATGGTGCTATAGTATTCAAGGCCCGATAAACTGTTGACACAAAGAACTTACACTTATCATCTATATTATTTATATTAAAGTGCCAATCAACCAATTTTAGGTTCTCCCTAATTAAATCATAATTTATATTTTTCCCTCTAGTCGAAATAAAATGTGGAATCCTATTCTGTGATTGCAATATTGCACCATTGACACATATATAATAATGATCACTCACTCTGGGGGCATGTTTTACTTTAGGAATCAGATCCAGATAGTTTGTAAACAACAAATCAATACATGTACCACCGTCTCTATTTGGCCTTGTTATTTCCTTAATTTGTTGTTGGAATCCTATATCATGTGAGATATTAGTAAGACGCTGCGTATATGTATTATCTGGCTTCAATATGTCAATATTAAAATCTCCCAGTATTACAGTTGGTATGTTATTATCACATACAGAATCATGACTCCATTCTTCAAAAAAATTCAAAAAATCCTTCTCACTACAGCTCGGAGATTGATATAGACAAACTACATACAAGTTTTTGTTACTAACTTCTATCTTAACTCCTAATACCCAATACTTCTTTTCAAACTTAACTCTGCTTATTGATAATATTTTAATAAAGTTCTTTAAATAAATTTGTACACCACCTGTCGATCGGCTTGAACTGTCTAGTCTCACCAATCTATATCCATCTATACTGACTTCATCATCTTCAATTTCTTCAGTCAAATGTGTTTCAGATAAAAAAATAATTTTAGGATCCAAGTCCAGAACTAGGGCATGGATCTGATCAAAATTAGCAATTGTACTACTTGAATTAAGATACAGAAGATCACATTCTGTATCCTTACTTTTAATATTCTTACCCTTACTCCGCGACAGCCTTTCATTGCTGCATCGTTTATTAAACCTATCTATAAAAAAGCCCGCTCAGACTGCTGATCGGCCCCACAAGTAGTCAAATTTATAGTTACTTCAGGTTCTTCATTATTAAACTCTATAAATTTCAAATTTGTATTCCTATGAAGACCAAAATTATCTATTCCTTCTTTTATTCTACTTGAAAATCTATCAAGACCATATCTACTCAGATATATTCCCTGCTCAGTGAAATCGCCAACGAGATAATCACTGGAGTGATCTACTAATATGTCTATATTGGCAGAATATTGTTTCAATCGTTCCGCTACGTACTGGATTTTTTTGTTTATATGAGACAAAATATTTACTTTACTTGATAGATCGCTTTTTAACGGAATAGAGCATAAAAGTAAATTGGTTTGAAAGCATTTATTTGCAAGCACGATGTAATCTCTGCATCCTACATCCAGATTGTTCACACCCTCTACCAGAATTACATAATCAGCACTTGTCAAATCTTTAATATAGCATTCGGCACCAGCAACAACATCCGTTAATCTTGCAAATGGCTTAGAAACTATCTGAATTACAAACCTATTCCCCAAAACTCTGTTCAAGTATTCCCACAAATATTTACCAAAATCATCTGTCAAAACAACTAACTTATTTTTCTTTATACTAGGCAAACTACGATTCTTATTTTCTACAACTATCTTCTTATTTTTCTTATTACTAGGACCACTATCATTCTCATTTTCCACTATAATTATCTCATCTTTCCTACTACTAGAACCGCTATTATTCCTATTTTTGACACCTACAGAGTTCCGCAATTCTTCTTTCATTTCATTTATCTGTTGGCGCATATCATATAACTCTTTTTCATAAATTGCATTGTCAGTTTCAAATATCCGGATTGTGTTTACTAACTCTCTATTGATTGTATTCTGATCTTCCACTTCCTTCCTCTTTATTTCAATATCTTCCTCATAGTTCCTTAACTTTATCTCATGTCCATTACAATTTAATTCTAATATATGCATTTGTTTTTTTATACTCTCAATGGTCTCACTTTTATCCACAATTTCTCTCCTTAAACGTTCAGCCTCTTCCACTCTAATCACATTTGACACATTATCGTTAAGTTGATCTTTTCCCACATGAATCTCCTTATTCTTCATTTTCTCTTCCCTGTCCCTGGCGTCCCTCTGCATGTTTATCTTACTACTTTGATTTTTATTCTTTAAAACATCTAACTTCCTCTCACATTCTTTAAATTTTATTTTCAAATCCTGATATTTCTTTAAAAGTTCCTCATATCTTCGCTGTTCTGACTAGCCAGTTCCGTTTCCATCCTCTGGATTGTTTCAGTGAGTTCGTCGGACTTTTCTTGTTCAGCTTTAAAATCTTGTCTTATTTGCTGTAGCTTCACCTCTAGGTCGTTAATAATATTATTTTGTTGTTTTATTCTTTCCTCCGCGGACTCTTCTGCTGCAAATACGTCATCCTGGAAATCAATAGTCTTCCTTCTTAGCCTCTTGATCATCTCTTCTTTGCCTTCAATGACTTGTATTAATTCATCGATCCTCTTTCCCTGGGTTACTCTGGTCTCTTCATTGTAATTTTCCATTGAAATCAAAAGCTCGTTCAATTGCTTATTTTTCTGGAATAGCTCTTCTGTCTTTTCCTGACTCATGCACATGTTTCTGAAAGTTTCCTTACATCCATTGCAATAAAAAAGCAAACTTCTCTCTGTTAAAGCGAGAGTGTGAGCTTCAGTGGTTTTCAATTCTGCACAAACTTTACAAAATATTAATTTGCATGAATCACAGGGCGAGCCAAATAGTTCATCTTCAGTTGGACGTGCCTTCAAAATGCACTTTTTAAAACATTGAGTGCAGGTGAGGTCTTCCATATTTCTAAAGCGCCCAGTTAGGCGTTAGTTATTACTGACAATAATTCATAAAAACATAATATTTTAAAACTCATTTACTTCCAAGACTCGCATTAACCGAATTAAGGTACCAATATTTTCTAGAACATATTTGGTATCCACAAAATTGATAAAAAACTGTTGTTTTTCTAAATTCAATATTAACATACAAGGACTAGTACGCATTACGTGGACAGGTTAGTTTGGGCTAGTTTGCATATTTCTGGTTAGTTCCATTATAGCTCATTCAATACTGGTTATAAGTGGTTGATAACGCGCTCTTGTTTTTCTAAATTCAATATTAACATACAAGGACTAGTACACATTACATGGACGGGTTAGTTTGGGCTAGTTTGCATATTTTTGATGAGTTTCGTTACAGTTCGTTCAATACTGGCTACAAGTGGCTAATAACAAAGCGCGAAGCGCGCCGTTGTTTTTCGAAATACAATATTAACATCATACATTTTTCCGGAAAATGGAAACAGCTAATTTCCTCAGGAATTTTTAATTAATACGTTTTAGTGATTTTTTTGTTACTTTCAGTTTCTGAAATAAATTATATTTTAAGCCGTTCCATTAAAGAATTATAAACACCTATTTTTCTTTTTGTTTGGCTTTATTACTTAAATCGGCTTATATGAACAGAGTCGGACTTCAATCTTTTTGAATTCTTGGAAGTGTTTCTACCTTGCAAAAACTTTCTTTCTCTCTTAAGTATGTCTGGAATCTGCAGTAAGTGTAACTTGTCCTGTGTCTTCAGAGAACCCCCAAAAGGCAGTAATCTTATTTTTGGTGGGACATGTGATAAGTGCAAAAAGGTGTTCTGTAAAAAATGCGAGAAGTGGGCAGCAACAGAGGTGAGATTTATTGAGATGATATCTAGAAAAATACAGTACTTTTGTCAAGAGTGTTCCTCAAAAGTTAATCATAATGAACACCATATTGAAAGTATCTTCATGCAAAACAGAACGCTTAGCGAACTTGTTATTGAGATGGAGGAAAGGATTGAGGAGAATAACACTAATTTTTGCAAACAAATAGACGATCTCAATACCACCATAAGAGAGACAGAAGGACAAATGGATGCATTACGTAGAAATACAATGGAGTTTCAGGATGAAGTGTTTTTAACTGAGAGGGAGCATGAATCTGAAATTGATAGACTTAAGAGTGAGAATAAATCATTAGTGCAGAGCTTGTTGAGAGCAAAATTGGTAAACAAAGAGCTTAAGATAGACATGGAGAAGTTTGGCCCTAAAGTTAAAAATGACTTAGATACCGAAAGATTAGAAAATGAGAAACTAAGACAACATATAACTGATCTAACAAGAATAATTAAAGACAAGGAACAGGAAGTTGACTATAAGATTGAAGAAATAGATCAATTGAAAAAAGAGTTGGAAATGAAAGATAGAGAAATAACACTGTCAAGGCAAAACTTTGTTGAAGACTTAATGGAGGAAGTTGCAGCCGGCAGGGAAGATATTGAAAACCTCAATACCGAAATCGGAAGAATGTTGAAAATTAACTGTAACTTGACTTATGATCTAGAGAAATATTTACATGATATTGATGATCTGAAGCGTGAGAATAGGAAACTTAAGGAGACAGGAAGTAAGGGTGGTGCAGTGGGTCAATCAAGGAGAATTGTTCGGCAAAGTATCAATATCGGAAGAAAGACAAAGGACATAGCAAGGGTTTTTGCTTCAAATACTGATGGTGTCCTTTCTTCTAGTGGTTCCAGTAGTAAACAAATAGAAACATCCTTGCCCAATGAACTATCAGCTATAGATCGGCATCAGCAAATGGCAAGTACCGGTGGCTCTATAACGCTTATATCTACACCTCCATCTACGCCGGTTTCAGCCTGTCCCATAAGTAAGAGCAACATCTTGGTTTTTGGAGACGAGAGTTCACGAGGCGTGGTTAATGGTCTACTTAACTTGACTAGTGCTTACTCAATTTATGGAGAATGTCACCCTGCTATTACTACCTCGCAGATGGCTGACAAACTGTTCCAATTGACAATAGGATACACAAGTTCGGATAATGTTATTGTAGCCTTAAAACTGAGTTCCTATTAAATTTCTTTCTTCATTTTATCTCAAAAAATTATGTGCCATTGGTAAATATACAAACTTGGTTTTTTCTGTGTCATATTCAAATTCTGAAAACAATAAGTATGTAGGTTTTGTTTCATTTTGTCAAAATTTTCTTAAAAACCATAATGCATCCATTAGAATTTTAGATAATAATAAAGTAAATGGCAGATTTCGACTATCAAGGCTTTCTTTTTTAAGAAATTTACTTTTATATGTAAAGAACAGCACTAGTTTAAAACACGTTTTTACCCTTTCTACCATAAAATATTGTGTTACCGAACACTCAACTTTCGAAATCAGTCGAAAGCTGCCTTGTACCAAACAAGATTCTTTTTTAGAGTAAAGAAATCTGACACAGGCATATCTTTGTTGCTTCTAAATATTCAATCAGTTCGTAACAAAGCTGATAATTTATTTATTTTTCTAGAGGAATTGAAATTCCCTAACATTGTTTTATTGACGGAACACTGGCTTAAGCCGGATGAACCATTACATGTTCCCGGATATACTATTATTTCTAGGTTTTGTAGAGAGCACTCCTTGCATGGCGGTACTGTTGCCTTGGTGGATGATTATATTTTTGATAGTTTTCGTAATTTTAATGATTATGATGAATTGCTGGTTGAAATGCAGTTTGAGTTTTCCATTATTCACTCCAAAAAGCTAAAATGTTTCATTATTTGTATTTATAGATCTCCAAATTGCAACTTAAACGTCTTTCTTGAAAGACTTGAATTTTTATTGTCTAAATTTCCTACAATTAACACAGTGATACTTGCTGGTGACCTTAACATAGATTTTGAGGACACTGATAACAGATCAACCATCAATCTGTTAAACTTGTTCGAGTCCTTCAATTTTAACATGCACGTTCGGGAGTCTACGCGCATAACTGAAACCTCATCCACTACAATTGACTACATTGCCTCGAATATAAATGAAGGCGTGTCTTGTTCCGTGCTTGATCCTGACCTTTCTGATCATCGAGCTATTTTAGCTACCTTCCCTTTCGACTACGATAACAGTAATAATGCCTACAGCAAAACTAGGAGTTTACAGTGGTGGCAACTTTCAGAAATTTAGACTGTCTTGTGGGTCTTTTAACTGGGACTCCGTTTTCGGAGATCCTGATCCTTTAAGTGCTTTCCATAATGCTCTTGCCAACCTGGTCGGCAAAGCTTTTCCTCTTCGCCGCTTAAAACCAAAGCGCAAAGATCGAAGAAAATGGCTGACACTTGGAATCCGCACTTCTGCCTCTAATCTTAGATTCCTTAACAGCCTTAGGATAGCGTACTCTAATAATGCCTTCTTACAATCCTACTATTTTTTTTATAAAAAAACTTATAGGAAGGTCATTCGTAAAGCCAAAGAGTTATTTTACTCTAAACGCCTGTCTAAATCTAACAATAAACAAAAAGAGTCATGGATCATCGTTAACGAAATAACTAATAGGGCAAATAATTCATCTCAAGTAAACATCGACAGCAATATTCTAAATCAATATTACTGCTCAGTTGCTCTTAATTTAACCAAAGATTTACCATCCAATATAGACCCACTCTCATACCTGTCAAACATCAACATTCCCGAACACTTCCATGCGTTTCTTCCCACTACCCCTCGCGAAATTCTAAAAACAATCAATTCCATGAAAAATAGAAAAGCCGCCACTGAATATGGTATCTCATTAAAAATTCTAGAGAGTCTTCCCAATAACGCCATTGCCACATTATCTGATGTTATGAATTTATCTTTTATGACAGGCACTTTTCCATCATCCTTTAAAATTGCCAAAGTCCTCCCTCTTTACAAGGGCGGCGATCACGCAGATTTATCTAACTACAGACCCATTTCATTATTGTCAACGCTCTCCAAACTTATGTTATTGAAAGTCTCGTAAAGTCTCGCCTTATGTCATTTCTGACTGACAACAGCATCATAGCTGGAGATCAGTTTGGATTTCAGGCTAACAAGAATACTTCTGACGCTATGTATCTGTTTCTATCTAGAGTTTTCCAGTCCATTAACGAACGTGAAGCCTCGGCCGCAGTGTTTTGCGACCTGTCTAAGGCGTTTGACTGCGTAACTCACGAGATACTGCTGCGGAAACTTTACGCCTATGGTATTCGAGGAAAGGTCTTTGAGAGCTACTTATGTGAACGTGAGCAGTTTGTTCATGCGAATGGGTTGTCATCCAGCAGGCAGTGTATCTCCTGTGGCGTTCCCCAGGGTTCTGTACTGGGACCTATTCTTTTTCTAATTTTTATTAATGATTTAACATAACTTGGGATATCTGTGCAGTTCACGTTGTTTGCTGATGACACAACTATTTTCTGGCACAATAAAAACCTTACGCAACTACGACAGGACATTGAATCTGATCTTAAGAAGGTTAAACAGTGGTGCGATGCTAACCGTCTGTGCTTAAATATGTCCAAAACTCATATGATTGGCTTCAATTTTGTAGTACCTCAAGAACTTGCTACAGGTGATGACTCTATCTCTTTTGTAGACAATTCGAAATTCCTAGGACTTATTATCGACGAAAATCTTAAATTTTATCCACACATTCTAAAATTGAACAAAAAACTGGCATCCGGCTGTTTTTCAGTAAGAACTACTTTCAGGGAACTTGGCAAGGAAGTAGCTCGCAGTGTGTACTTTGCTCTGGTCGAATCCCATATTAGGTAGGTATGCATTACCCTTTTGGGGAGCTTGTGCACAGTATCTATTTCGATCGGTTTTCATCCTCCAAAAGCGTGCAGTTCGAAATCTGTGTAATGCTCACCCTAGAACTAACTGTAAAAATCTCTTCATCCAAAATAGTATCCTTACTCTTCCTTCTCTTTTCATCCTTGAAACAGCATGCTTAATTCATAAAAACAAACATCGCCTTCCGAATCACCAGCAAGTATATCAAACCCGTCAGAACAATTCTATCCCACTGCCTATACCTCATTCCAATTTAGTTAAGAGGTCTCTCGTCTACAATGGTATTAAAATTTATAATAGTATAAGTCTGCAAATTAGAAACGCGCCAACACTAAAGGCATTCCGAAACCTGCTAAAAGCATTTATTTTCTACTTTACTGTTATAGATCCATAATACCTAGGAAACGAAATACGTTAACACACCTATAACAACCTGATCCATAACGCCCGCTTTTGCGGGCGTTATGATCTATAACGCCCGCTTATAATACCTTAAGGTGTTTTTGTTGTTGTTGTTCTATTAATTTGCACTTTACCCTAGGCAGCCACTAAATGTCTGACCGAAAATAATTTTCGGTCTAGCCAGGATTCGAACCCGGTCTACCATCAACGTTTCCCATGTATTCCAGCGCGTTAACCCACAGGACCACCACCGTTGCCTTGCTTTATGAGATGTTTATAGATATATTAATGTATTTCGTTTCTATGTACAGGTCGCAGGTACAGGTACAGGTCACAGGTACAGGTACATGTCAAAATACAAAACAATATTCTGTCACACAAGTTTAACTGATTTTGTTAATAACAAATTGATGAAAAAACATTGTGTTGAGTAGAAAATAAAGCATTGTATGCACTACGGGGATTTCAAGATTATAATGCCCTTCAGGCGAAATATATCCCTCGGGCCATAGGCCCTCGGGCTAGTTTCGCCTTCGGGCATTATAATCTACATAATCCCCTTGGTACATAAATAGCTATTTTATTGAAAAAAGCTTTTTACACAATTGACGAGTTTTTTGAACAGTCTTAATATTAGTAGGTAATTATTGACTAAATAGTATTGTGTATACACTGTTTGTTAAAATTAACATTTACCTTGTTTGTTACATGCCTCACTTTTATTTATTTATTTTTATTTTTGTTTTTGTTTTTATTTTTCTTTTGTTGTCTTTGATTAAATTTGATTCTAGGCTATTTCATTGTTTGACAAATTTATTGTTTAGATTTGAATAACATGTTGCAATTGTTGTTGGTAGGTTATTTTTAATTATGCTTTGTCAATAAGACCTATTACATGTAATATTTCTTGGACAATAAAGTACTTTTCATCATCATCATCATTCAAAAAACTATACGTTTTTAAACAACTTGGCAACACTGTTAGCAATGTGTTAATTTAGGGGAGTTTTATTTTATCACTCCAATGTTTTTGAAAATGGCGTGTTTTTTACATCTATCATCTATTGCATGCGTTTTCTTGTTTTGGGAAGTGCTTCATCCAACGATTTTTTTCTTTTAAACTGTTCTATAGCAATAAGGCTTCCTACTAAAAAAAAAATAAAATACGAAATCCGTGGGGCCTTGAACTTTACCAGACCCGGAAATCCTACCTGGGGATTTTTGGGAATGCCAGATTCAATGGTGATATTTGCAATGTTACCAAGTTTACTGTTTCTTAAATGCCGTATGTAACTTGATTTTTTTAAATGGATGCCCCTCTTCATTTTTATTGTAATTAATTCAGCGTCCCAACATTCCTAAAACCCCTAAATGTCAAAACTCCATTTTACTTGGTTTTTAAAATATGGCAACACAGATTTTTTATTGAGATGTATGGAAACAGTCTGATATTTCAGAAAAGCAAAATGTACAATATTCCCTACCTGGGAGTTTTTAGGAATGCCCGATTCAATGGTGGTATTTGCAGTGTTGCCAAGTTTACCGTTTTTAAAATGCCGTATGTAACTGCCCGTAAGGGCATCCATTTAAAAAAAAATCAAGTTACATACAGCATCTTCTAAATGGTGAACTTGGCAACATTGAAAATACCACCATTGAATC